CTACTTCTTGATCGATAGATTCCTCTTTTGTTTCATCAGCGATTTCACAATCCAGACCCTTGATTTCAGCGAGCTTGTCATGTAGAATAGATTGAAGGGACTTCAGCTTTTTTAAATCTGCTTGATCTCCGGAACTGATGAGTGCACTTGCACCGGTGATAGTCTTCGTCACGTATCCCTTGTGACCAGCATGTACTCTAACTTTCCTCTTTAAATCTGTCATTTCTCTTCTTTGGCAAACTTGCCTCAGACCATGACTGTTTTCCTTCAAGAGATTCCCGGGTCTCGGCACCAGTAAAATGTCAGAGTGAATTAATTCCTTAAACAAATTCCATGACCAAAATTCTTGAGCAAAATCCTTTAATAACCCTGGTACATCGAGTAGACACATGACGCATTCTGAATCGAGAAAAATCTGAGCAAAGAATCTTGAACAACTTGAGTGAATACTGAGTTACAACATTATTCCTTAATGACTTTATCGCTACGAGTGTCAATCAATCAATTTTTAAATGCTATCCTATAGAGAAAACAAGTTCGAGAGTCACGTCATTTGATTTAAGAGCTCACGCGATGAGATCATTTATGACGTGAAAAAATGAAGATTTTTTAGTGTTGTACCACCTTAATATAATGAAGGAAATGTGCTTGGTTGCTGTTGTACCTGCAAGTAAGTATCACTGTAATCCACTACATACTGCTTGTTCAACACATAGGGCTGAGCTTGAGGTCTCCTTTACCCTTTCACTTCCAGTGTCTCCCTTTGACAAGTACAATTGTCTGGCATTAGCCAGAGTAAAATCTATAAAGTGACTCTTGAGAGTGAAAGGGTTGATAATTATACACTTTCTGAATATGTGTGAAAAATAATGTGGTCAAAACACACCACCACAGACAATTACACACTAAAAGTGAGATGAAAAATAAATTATGAAATTTACAGGAAACAACAGGAGTAATGGAGACAGTTGAGGAGACAGCAGGAAATTGAATTAGATCAGATGGCTCTGACCAATCAACAGCATAATACCGAGGTATACAGTACACAAGAATGTCCTGAAGCATGATGATTCTATGGATCAGACATTAAGTTACAATAACATCAGCCGTCACCATGGATCAGAATTTTTCACCCATGCTTTGCCTTCTTGTTCATCGGTCCCTTCAGAAAGATTTAGATGAAAGCCCTGCAGAACAGGGTAACAATTTACTTAAGGTTGATAGTTTAATATTAAGATTCTTTTGTTAAATACTATTGTAAGGGGAACAAAAACTGCAAAAGCTAGAGTCTTCAGGTGCAATATAACCATAGATTAGTATGAACGCAAGAATGCCCCACTTCTAATGCTATTCAATGCATCCCTCTATGAGGTTGAAGGTGGTCTTACAGGAAAATGCTTACAATGTGGAATTGCTGTCCTAATGGCAAGTTTGAGTAGCCATATAACGAATGAACACAACAATGATGTTCCCCAGTTAAAGGTGAAGAGATATACATGTTCATGGCAGCCATTTATTACTGATATTCTGATGTTTAGGCAAATGCCATTTTACATGCTCTGGTATTCATGAAAAAAATAAATCAGTAAGAATGTTTGTGCATGTGTCAATGCCACATTTCTGTTGCTGATAGAAACAACAAACCATAGACAAACTAGTCATTGAGGATGACCACAGTGACATACCTCGTACTTCGTCAAGGTATATATAAACTTTTAAAGGACAAGCATATAGATTGATCTCAAACACAGCTATGTGGACAGGGTAACAGAAGTCTGACATACAGTGCAGAAGGCCTTTACTCTTTTTACTTCTGGAATAACTCTGTCAACCCCCTCATGTGAAATGTCGTTCTACATCGTACTCCAGAATACACCCGGGAGAGGGTGTGGCAGAGTTGGTTTCAGCCCAAATTTTAGTCTAAAATTCTACCTATGTGCCTGTATCTTGCCAAGCTTGTTTTAAGTTTCGGCATGTCTGACTTGTTGTAATATTATTTTTTGAGGAAATTCTGGCAACCTTTTTTCGCATATGTTGCAAAGTAACCGCTTTTTTTCTTGTTCAGTAACTTAATTAGATTTTCCAACAGCTTGCAAGTACTAGCAAAGCTGTGGTATCAAATTAATTTTGTGTCTATCATAATCTAGGAATACATGCTTTTGCTGACTTTTCATCAAATTTGCAAAGGCATTTTATATTCTGTTGGATTCCAGTTTTAGCATCGAAAGAACAAACCAAAAGCAATGCACCGTATCATGTTTGGAGAGTATTATCAAATGGTTATTCAATTGTTAATTAAAACCTATAATAAAATTACAATA